TAGAAATATATAGATTCATATATGTGCAATAATTAGATATACTTAAGAGGTTGTGCCTTCTTTCTACAGGTTAAATATGAAAATATGAACAATCATCTTCTTCTTTATACTAAATATACTTTTTGCCCCTCCTGTTATATTTCTTAGCTAGGCATCTGGGTATGAATCTAATGCAGACACTTGGCTTGTCTTTAGAAGTTATTGTCCTTTCATAATTAGCTGGTAGCTGATGAATTGTGTATATATTGGGATCATGGAAGTTGAGTATAGAGAATTGAATCAGGACAGGCCAGGAGATGGGCTTTTGAATATCAGATGACCAGAGAGAAATCACATTGACAGCAACGTGGCTTTATTCAACTACAAGTTAAAAACTTAAACACATTTTTTTTTAACCAGAAAATTTGCAATGCTTGTTTTTTTTTTTAATTTCCCAGTTTAAGTTAATCAGAAGCTTAAGTTCTGCTAAATTCTTATGGCTTGGCTTACAACTGATGATTACCATGGAGTTAGGGTACAGAGCATTCTTTTGGGTAAAATAACTCATTTGGGAGTTTTAATGCACTCTAGCTTGTTCCCCCACAGGGTGACTCCTAGTGACCTTACCTGGGCCATTATCTGTCATTGAGGTTGTTATCTTCTGGAGATTATATCTTTTATTTCAAAATATATTTTTTATTGATTTTTTACAGAGAGGAAGGGAGAGAGATAGTTAGAAATATCGATGAGAGAGAAACATCGATCAGCTGCCTCCTGCACATCTCTTACTGGGGATGTGCCCATAACCAAGGTACATGCCCTTGACCGGAATCAAACCTGGGACCTTTCAGTCCGCAGGCTGATGTTCTATCCACCGAGCCAAACCGGTTAGGGCTGGAGATTATATCTTATACCTTGAACTTCTCTACATTATGTAGTCTTCCATGATTGAAAGAGGTTATTATTTTTCATTCTTAGATGATACTTTCTAAATACAAACCTGGAATGCTTTTTTAAAAATTAGACCACTAAGATATTCACTTGGGTATTTAATCAAAGGGGATATACTGGAGTACATAACATTATATTTATCTGTAATGTTGTTTGTTCTGTTTTTCAGATGCTTGCTTATGTAATGCTCCTCTCTCTTTGATTTTTTTAAGCTCCAGAGGATAATGGAGTGTGTTATTTTCCTCCTTATCAGTTGCCTAAAGGAAGCCAGTGCCTGATTATTTATTTGATATTGTGTGATAGATTTCTAATTACTCTAATAGCATATTGGCCAAAAAATCATCTTTTAATTATAAAACATGTATTAAATTCTGTGTTGGTTTTTTTTTTTTTTTTGTACCTAGAGTGGTCCTGGGAAGTGAGGAAACATAAGTGAATGAGACATGGTTCTTCATCATGAGAGGATTTCATGGAGCAAATCAGATTTCCTTAAAATAATGAGCTTCCATTGATTTCTTTACTACAAAGACATGAAAGAAATTAAACAAACCAGGGTTCTCTGTACTTCAGAAGCTATCTGTAGACTGTTATTACTACAGAGTGACATTAGAGCAAATCACATTTGATTGCTAATGTTTAGACTTTTGGGCACTAGAATATAAAATTTAAAAAAAATAATCAAGAGATATCATTCACACATGTCTGGAATGGCCAGAAAGTTCAATGGAACATATCTTTGACCTATCACTGAAAGCATTTTCTATGGTGTGCCACATTTCTTATCCCCTTGTATTTTTAGATATCAAGAAATGAGAAAATGTGGAAAATTTGGTTTGATAAGGAAAACCCTGAGGAGGAACCTCTTCCAAATGCCTATGATAAATCTCTTGACTGCTTTAGACGCCTTCTTCTTATTAGATCCTGGTGTCCTGACAGAACCATTGCCCAGGTAACCATTAACGTCCCTATTAAAAAAATAAAAGACGCCTGGCTGGTGTGGCTCAGTGGTTGAGCATCAACCTATGAACCAGGAGGTCACATTTTGATTCCCAGTCAGGGCACATGCCCCGGTTGCAGACTCCATCCCCAGTGGGGGTGAGGGGGAGTGTGCAGGAGGCAGCCAGTCAATGATTCTCTCTCATCATTGATGTTTCTCTCTTAGTCTCTCTTCCTCTCTGAAAATCAATAAAAATATATTATAAAAAATTAAAAGACTATTTTTAAGGAGGCTGTTCTTTTAAATTTAAAGACATATTTAAAATGATAATCCCAATGAGAATTTTTTGTAGTCTTGCATATATTTTTCTAGCAATAGAATGTGAAAAATGAAAAAATAAATGAGGAATAAATGTACCGAGGTATACATGTAGGCTAAGCAATTTAATAATATTCTTTGGCCCAAACGGTACAAGAGTGAATGTTCTCAAGATTGGTGTGTAGGTATAGCATAAAGGTAATGTCTTATTCTTCTGTATCATTTTTTATATTAACACTGCGGACCAGTAGTTTTATTGCTAGCTTTATCCAGTGGCCAGATAAGTTTCTATTGAAAAAGTACAAAAACCGTTTTATATAAATGTTAAAGGCACGCTTTAAAATTAAATACCCATTGCATTTTGAAGTTATTTATTACATGGTCTTACAAACTAATATCTTTTTAAAGAATTCTCATGATTGGCCACAAGCCTTAGAACAGAAAACACGAGAATTCTCGTGACCGTCTGCAATGTGTTAACTCAAAAATGATATGGCTGCTCCATTTTGCTAGTAGTAAAACAATGTTCCCTTAAGTAGGAAGAATGTGAAGTTTCTAGGGAGAAGAGAGACTAGAAGGGAAGCAGAGCATTCCCAAACTTGTGTTCATTTCCCCAGAAAGTGTCACAGCCCTTGATGCAAGGAAGTAGGCTTGCCTAAACATTTTTAAATTGTATGTATTTTATATATGGTTTAAATGCGACTCCTACCTCCAAAAGATCCACCTTTTTAAAGACCTTTAATCTGCTGGTCTATTATCATGGACATTTACACATTAAAAAGAGTCATCGTATTTTGCCTTCACAATTAAAAGCTTAACTAATATTCCACATACATTGATTCTTCAAGGGTTTCTCCAAGTAAGCCAAGGGGTAACATAGGCAGGGTTTATAACAGAATGTAGGAAACATTCCCCTTCACTCTCCAGAGAGTGTTTAAACATGGAGTTACCATCTCCATGTCCACTAGATACTGTGCAAGAATGAAACAACTAGATTTGATGATTTATTGAAAAAAGGAAAAGGAGTTTTGCAACTCAGGACACTGAGATCACCTTTCCTTTAGTTTTTCTTCTCAACTTCATTACTTTTATTCTTCCCAAATGAATTCTATAACAGTTGCCTTATTTAAGGGCAGTGTAGAAGGTTCAAGTAGTTCCCTTCTCTCTCTCTCTCTCTCTCTCTCCCTCCCTCCCTGCCTGCCTCCTTCCCTCCTTTCTTTTTATGATTATTATTGAAATGGTCCAATGCTGAAATTTAAGCCTTCCATGCTCCTTTGTATCTTCATCCTGGCTTCTGACATACATAGGCTGATGATAGCATGACTTCCTAACTGGTCTCCTATAGTCACTCTTGTCCACTCTACTCTATCCTGTATATTCCAGAAGAAATGGAAGTATGATTATGTTTTTCCTGTAATGGCTTCCCATGGCTCTTACGGTCTTTAGAAGGTCCAGAAGTCTCCTCTGGAAGAAGGTCTCTCCCTCAAAAATTCTTATTCTTGGGTTGGACTCCTTTTGTAGTATTCAATCAGGTACCTTTTCCGGGAAGCATAGTAGAAGGTCTACAATGTAGACATATTCAATTCCCATTCCCCATAAGCAGCATCAGGCTCACTCTCAGCATTTCCTCTAAGCATGATTGCTCACCTCAGGGAATATTCAATTGCCTGGTTGCAAAAGTGATGCTCTGTCAGAGTTTCTACTTTCTCATATGTAAAATAGGGATAATAAAATCTATCCAGGATGATTGGAATAAATTTTAATCAAAATAGTGTATTTAATAGTAATAATGAATGTAATAATTATTGCGTATCAATATGAAAACATTGGGGTTTTTTTTTAGAGGGAAGGATGACAGCAGTGAAAAAAGATTACCAAATGAAAAAAATAGAAAATATATCATGATAAACATCTCTGCCCTCTAATAGTCAGGGTTACTGTGGACATCATTGAGATAATCTATACAAATGAATTTTGGAACCCACTCTGCATTGTACACGTAAAGGAGTTAGAACTAGTTTTGGTGACTGGTGTACTACTTTTGGCAGGCCCGCAAGTACATCATGGACTCCATGGGAGAAAACTATGCCGAAGGGGTGATCCTGGACTTGGAAAAGACGTGGGAGGAATCTGATCCACGGACACCACTCATCTGTCTCCTGTCTATGGGCTCAGATCCCACGGATTCCATCATCGCCTTGGGGAAGAGATTGAAAATAGAAACCCGTTATGTGTCCATGGGCCAAGGCCAGGAGGTCCACGCTCGCAAGCTCTTACAGCAGACTATGGCAAACGTGAGTCCAGTGTCTACATTTGTGTTATGTTGTTGACATTCAGTGGTTCTCAACCTTCCTAATGTCGCGGCCCTTTATTACAGTTCCTCATGTTGTGGTGACCCCCAACCATAAAATTATTTTCGTTGCTACTTCATAACTGTAATTTTGCTACTGTTATGAATCATAATGTAAATATCTGATATGCTCTATGTGTTTTCCGATGGTTGCGACCCACAGGTTGAGAACCGCTGTTTAACAATTACAGACAAGAACATATGACTTCAGAGTTTAAATTTACATACTGCATGATAAATTTTAAATTTTTCCAGCTGAGCCTTGACTTACGGAAAACTTACCCCACCGAACATCTAATTCCTAACCAGCTTGCATAATGCTAACCCCTACTCCAGATCCCAAACCCTCAGTGGGGTCCACAGCTCTGCCTCCTCTGCTATATGCCCCGCCAGCTCCACTCTCGGAATCTTCAGAACTCCAGAATCTACCTGTGCCTTTCTTGAATTGCAGAATGCATAATGGAGTCCCCCAGGCATGGCCCAGACCCCAAAGAGGCCAGGAATCTGCCATCACCTTGCAGTGGTGCCAGAGGTTCTAGGGCTCCTAAAACCCTTCATGGATTATAAACTCTAGTATGAAGAGTAAAGTGCTGAGGAATGGCCTGGGAGCCACCAAACACCGGAAAGCCCTTGCTGACCCTGCTCATGGGACAGTTAAGTCTAGAGTGGGGGCACTTTCAAGGACTTACGTTAGCAGGATGCTAAAAGTCCTCCATTTCATTTCTATGCCTGGGCTCCAGGACAAGGCACTCATGTGTTTGCTGTGGTCTAGCCCCCTCTGGGGTGTCCAGCTCAGCCTGGAGGATCCTTCCATCCTTGTTCCCCTCTCCTCCACTTTGGCTAAGTATGGTGGGGGCGCAGAACCACTGGCTTCTCATTCCTACTAGAGAACATGCAATCTGAGTTAAGATTCCTTTCTGGCCTTTTGTTGAACCTGACCTTAGTCCTCTTTCCTTGAGTCTGATTATCCCCCCTATCTCAAGACTCCTTCTGTGCCCTCCAGGGTCTCCCCTGATGGGGCAGGACTGGCTTTCTTACCATCCAACCCCAGACCTCTGGGCTTACCACTGGGCTCTAGGTCCTGACAGCTGAATCTAGAACCCCACCACTGTGCTGCATCTAGTCCCTTCCCTCTGGTCTAGAACTAAGGCCACTGGGTTTTAGAACTTCCATATTTACCTCGAGGCTTTACTATCCCAAGGCCGTGCCCTTCCCCCAGTTTTGGTGAAAGGGGAGGGGCCCTTAGGTGGGTTGTACTATGTCTAATGACCTTAGTTTGCAGTTGGGAGGCTGAAGGGGTCTGATTGAAGTGTTTCTGGAGAAGAAAAAGATTCATCTGTATTTAAGAATCCTGTGTTTAGTCTGACATAAGGGCTTGGTAGGCCTTGATCCTGGCCTCTTTCTCCTCTTCCCTCCCTCCTCTCTACCTTTTTTATTCATCCTTGTATACACTCCTGTACTTAGAACAAAAACACTAACATTAACAGGGCACTTCTTGAATTAAACATTTAATTGTGTAACTAATAATAATATGGTTTCAGGCAACTAAATTAGAATTTAAATGGGATATTTTTAGCCTTTATTTTATCCATGTTTTGTTTAGCAGTTTAAAGTAAAATTTAAAAAGTCTTTAATTTTAGCATGCTTATAACTTGTCAGAGTCAATAGCTTTTTAAAAGTTTTGTAGGAAAGGTTCAAGACATTATGACAGAATGAACCAACTACCCAATAGTAGGAAAATGAATGATCCGCAAGAAAAACTCAAAACATTTACTACAGAATGCAGCAATACAAAGCAACCTTGGCTACAGGATTCTGTAGGCAAATATTGAAACAGCAAAGTTCTCACATAAGAAACTTTATATTTGACTAGAGGCCCGGTGCACAAAAATTTGTGCACTGGCGGGGGGGTGTCCCTCAGCCCAGTCTGCACCTTCTCCAATCTGGGGCCCCTCGAGGGATGTCTGACTGCCTAAATGGGTCGTTGGACATCCCTCTCACAATCCAGGACTGCTGGCTCCCAACCGCTCACCTGCCTGCCTGCCTGATTGCCCATACCTCCTCCTCCCGCCCGG